GTAGCTAAAAGTGAGTACTTTTTTCTTACCGTGCAGCATTTAGGTTTTTTTTGTAGTCAACGGATTAAAAACGAAGCATCCTATTGTGGAATTGCAAAATTAAATGGAACATTTGCCATATTTATGATTCCATATTGGCTTATTGATCATATATTCCGCCATGCTAACTAATAGGACGTTACCGTCATTACTGCCCAGCTGGCAACACACCGAGTTAGTGCTATGATACTTCCTACCTACCGAGCTCATGGAAGAACGGTATCAAAAATCAAAGGAAATGTATCAGTCCGCATCGTGCTCTCTTGCCGTGCGGATCTATTTGCTTTTTGCTGAAGGAAGTGTTACTACTACCTAAAGCTACAACAAATTTAAACAGCACTTTTCAGTGCTCAACCTGTAAAAATTTTCTACCTTGTTCAACTCCTCTTATTCCTCTTCGATCCTTGTTTGGACCCTACCCGAGGTAATCCTTCTTGGATATCGATTTGGAAAATTCCTCTTCGATCCTTCAGATTCTTATAGTAATCTGCTTGGAAATCGATTTGGATAAAAATTTACTGCCGCCATGGCGCCTAAACGCAAAAGAAAGGGGCAAACTCTTGACCCCCCTTCTGAAGAAATTAATTTGAGTAATCAATTTGATTTGCTCACGGATGATGAGAATGATCCATCATCCAATAAAAATTCTAGTAAACTTTCCCGGCTTAATGCCAAGAAGGAAAAGATTCCCCCTATTGTGATAACCACTACCGATTTCCATGCTCTTCGCATGGAACTTTTGAATTTCGTGAAAGTTAAGTTTTCACTACAAATTGGACGTCGGGGTGAATGCCGTGTATTGGCTGAAACCTTGGACGGATTTAAATGTCTTCTCAAGTATCTTACTGAGAAGAAGCACAAATTTTTTACTTACGACACCAAAACTGAACGTGTGTTCAAGGTTGTCATGAAAGGACTGCCCAGTGGTGAATCCCTGGATCAGATCAAAGATGAACTGGCAAAATTACTTGGAGTTGTGCCACTCCAAGTAATCAAAATGAAAATGAAATCCCGTCCTGGCGATTCGCGCAACGGGATTTCTAATGATTTTTATTTAGTTCACTTCAAGTCTAGTGAACTAAACAACCTTAAGGCCTTAGAAAAAGCTAGCCTTATGCTCCATGTCCGAGTGAAGTGGGAACACTTCAGGAAGACTGGAGGAAATTTCCAAAACCTCACTCAGTGCCGTAAGTGCCAGGGATGGGGTCACGGAACTAAAAATTGCTACATGCCAGCTAAATGCATGAATTGTGGTGATTCCTCTCACGCAAAGGACGACTGTCCTGTGAAGGAAGATCCTAAGAAATTTAAATGTTCAAATTGTGGTGAAAACCACAAATCCAATTTTTGGGAATGTAAGACTCGCAAAGCGATCCTACAATCTCGTTCTAACCGACAGGTAGGAAACGCTCCACGTTTCCGACCAGGTACAAATTCCTCTGCTGTTAACAACGGTCAGCGAGGAACAAATTCTACATTCGTACCCGTAGGTACAAATATCACCCCTGCTTCAAATGTTTCATCTGTACCTACTCCCCTCGCTGCTAACAATGTTCAGCGAGTTAATGGAGCTACCTATGCTGCTATTGCAGCGGGTAGAAATCAAAATACTAACCAACGTTCTAACGGATATTTTGACAATTTTGACTTAGGAAGTATTACTGCTCCTAAAATGGAATTTTTACAGAATTCATTAATTGACATGATTTCTGATATGCTTAAATCTAACTCCATGTTTGATGCTATTCAAACTGGAGTAAAATTTGCTAATAATATTGTCATGACTTTAAAATTCAGTAATGGATTTTAAAGCATTAAACATTTTAAATTGGAATGCTCGATCTCTTAAAGATAATGAAGACGAGCTATTTAATTTTTTGAGAGTTCATAACGTGCATATTGCCGTTATAACTGAAACGTTCCTTAAACCTGACCATAAGGTTAAGAAGGACGCAAATTACTTGATTTATAGAAATGATCGTCTTGATGGACCCTGTGGTGGCGTTGCCATCATTATTCATAGACGAATCAAGCATAAAATTCTTTCTTCATTTGAAACCAAAGTTTTTGAAACTTTGGGAGTTTCTGTTGAAACAAAATTTGGACAACTTACGTTTATAGCTGCCTATTTGCCATTCCAATGCGTAGGCCAGCAAAAGAATTTTCTCAAGGGTGACCTCCAGAAACTTACCCGTCATAGGTCTAAATTCTTCATTATTGGTGATTTTAATGCAAAACACCGCTCATGGAATAATGCTCAAAGCAATTCCAATGGTAATATTCTGTTTGATGATTGTTCTGCAGGTTATTACACTATTCAATATCCAAACAGCCCAACATGCTTTTCTTCTGCAAGAAATCCCTCCACTATTGATTTGGTCTTAACTGATTCATGCCATCTTTGTAGCCAATTGGTTACCCATGCTGACTTCGGTTCTGATCACCTTCCAGTAACTTTTGAAATATCCCAAGAAATAATTTCTAATCCCAACAGCTTTACTTTCAATTACCATAGGGCTGATTGGGAGCAATATCGAACATTTATGGAATATAACTTCGATCCAAACATTCCTTTGCAAACCAAAGATGAAATTAATTATTCTCTTGAATCTCTGACTACTTCTATAGTTGAAGCAAGAGCTGCCTCAGTACCAAAATGCGAGGTTAAATTCGATTCAATTATAATAGACGATGATCTTCAGCTCTTGATCCGTCTTAAAAATGTCCGTAGGAGACAATTTCAAAGAACACGCGATCCTGCCATGAAAGTTATCTGGCGGGATTTGCAAAAACAAATTAAAAAGCGATTCTCTGCCCTGAGGAACAAAACTTTTGAAAATAATGTTTCTAAATTAGACCCGAGTTCCAAACCCTTTTGGAAACTCACAAAAATTTTGAAAAAACCTCAAAAGCCAATTCCAGCGCTTAAAGAAGGTGGTAAAATTTTGATCACAAATTTGGAAAAAGCTCAGAAACTTGCTAAGCAATTCGAGAGTTCCCATAATTTCAGTTTGGGTCTTACTAGTCCTATTGAGAATCAGGTTGCTCGGGATTTTCGGAATATTTTCTCTCGGGAAAATATTTTTGATGATTCCTGGGGGACTGATTTGGACGAAGTAAGGTCTATAACTAAAAAATTTCAAAATATGAAAGCTCCAGGTGATGATGGAATTTTCTATATCCTCATCAAAAAACTCCCAGAGAGTACCTTGTCTTTCCTGGTAAAATTATTTAACAGATGTTTCCATTTGGCATACTTTCCTGATAAATGGAAAAATGCAAAAGTTGTTCCAATTTTGAAGCTGGATAAAAATCCAGCTGAAGCTTCTAGCTACCGTCCAATAAGTTTGCTTTCTTCAATAAGTAAACTTTTTGAAAAAATAATTTTGAATAGAATGATGCTTCACATCAATACGAACTCAATTTTTGCAGATGAGCAGTTTGGATTTCGCCATGGGCATTCAACTACTCATCAACTCTTAAGAGTTACCAATTTAATTCGTTCAAACAAATCTGAAGGCCACTCAACTGGAGTTGCTCTTCTAGACATAGAAAAAGCATTCGACAGTGTTTGGCATGAAGGTTTGATTGCTAAATTGAAAAAGTTTAATTTTCCACTTTATATTATGAAATTAGTTCAAAATTATTTAACTGACAGAACTCTTCAAGTAAATTATCAAAATTCCAAATCTAATCGACTACCTGTTAGAGCAGGAGTTCCTCAGGGTAGCATTCTTGGGCCTATATTGTATAACATTTTCACTTCGGACCTCCCTGATTTGCCTCAGGGTTGCCACAAATCTTTGTTCGCTGATGACACAGGCATTTCCGCTAAAGGAAGAAGTCTTCGTGTTATTTGCAGCAGACTTCAGAAAAGTTTAGATATTTTCTCTTCTTATTTACAAAAATGGAAGATTTCTCCCAACGCTTCCAAAACTCAACTTATAATATTTCCACATAAGCCCAGGGCTTCCTTTTTGAAACCTAGTAGTAGTCACATAGTCACTATGAACGGAGTTCCAATTTCCTGGTCAAACCAAGTGAAATATCTTGGATTAATACTTGACCAAAAATTAACTTTTAAAGATCACATTGAGGGCATTCAAGCCAAATGTAACAAATATATAAAATGTTTGTATCCTCTTATAAACAGGAAATCCAAACTTTGCCTGACGAATAAACTTCTAATATTTAAACAAGTTTTTAGACCGGCCATGCTTTACGCTGTGCCAATATGGTCTAGTTGTTGCACTACCAGGAAAAAAGCACTTCAAAGGATTCAGAACAAAATTCTGAAGATGATTTTGAAGTTGCCTCCCTGGTACAGTACTACCGAAGTACATAGAATTTCGAATGTTGAGACTTTAGCACAAATGTCCAACAAAATAATTAATAATTTCCGGCAAAAATCGTTACAATCCTCAATTGCAACGATTAATTCCCTTTATATTTAGATAAGATTAATTTTAGTTATTTAGTTTTAAGCTATCAATTGTTATACTGACATGCAGGTTTAAAAAACCTGTTTAAAATACTGAATTGCCAAGACAGGAACAATGTAAAAACACTTAGATATATATCATAACAATTAAGGCTGGTAAGTTACTGTAGTAACTGGAGCACCTAGGTTAAAAATGAAATGTAATTTATTTTGAATTTGGAACAAATAAAGAGTTAAAAAAAAAAAAAAAAAAAAAAAAAAAAAGGAAATGTATGGGAATTTGTTGTTTTGTTGTTGTTGTAAAAGCAATATTTTCCAGAAAGTTGTAGGGAAGAATCATAAATTAAATTGAGTGATCGAATCAGAAATTACCCACCTGTGTTAGATATTCTGCTGTACTAATAAACAATAGAACAAGAAGGATCATTTACTTTATAAACCAACTTAAATTAGAATTCTGATCCAGAATCATAGAAATGTAGTAAAACTCGAGGAATATTTTGTAGAACTAATCTATTTATTTACTTAATCTAAACTACCCCACGCAACTGAACTTTTCTAATGGTGATATGCATATTGTTGTTGCTGATGTTGATGATGATGCTGCTCAGTGTATTGCTGTTGCTGATGATGTGGAGCTTGGTAGCCCTTAACCGGCTCACGTTGCACCTGAGCAATGAATCCACTCTTGCCATGAACGTGGTAGGTCACAGTGCGCTTATGGCCATCGGCGTCGATCAGGTAGTACTGTCCCTCAGTTTTGTCCCCCTCCCGAGATTCCTGCTGACCATGAACGTCTCCGGTGTGCTCATCATGAACGCCATAATGATACTGGTAGTGAGCCGGGGCGTGGTGTTCTTCCTCGTGATGATGCTGCTGTTGTTGCTGAGGCTGGTAGTGCACCTGTGGCTGATGATGAACCTGAATTTGTGGTTGATAGTGATGCTGTACTTGGGGTTGCTGATATAGTTGCTCTTCTACATGGTGCTCTTCTGGTTGGTGATGAACCTCAGCGTTATGATGCTGTTTCTGCAGATGGTGACCGTAGTAACCAATTCCACTCTGAGCACTCACAACGGAGGCTAATGCTAGCAGTCCAAAGACCTAGAATAGATATTTCCTTTTAAGTACCGTTCTCGATGAGTGTGAAAAATAAGTATCTTACCTTGAAACCCATTTTTGATCCCTAAAACTGAGAGGTTTATTTGAACTGATGAAAAGCGAGCCACTGAATGATACCGTTATCCACGCAATGAATAGTATTTATACCCAAAACTGTCATGATCCTGGCAGAACTGGTCACCATCGAAAAAGCAGTTTACTTTCTACGTCCGCACAGCGAACCAAGTGCAAAGATAAGAAACTGTCGAATTTCAACAGACTCGCCATTTGGGAGGTGAGATAAATTGACCATTCGTAAGCAAGAGAGAGAGCGTACCAAGCAGTGCAAAATGGTATGAAATAGACTGCTCTATTGCGAGCATGTTATTACGCTCACTGGAGTTACTGGATTGGCGGTGTCATGCATAGACAATCATGATTGTATTTTTTTGTAATTACATAACAACGTGGTGCGTCACCTAAGAAAATGGCTTTAATTTAAGGAAATCATTGATGGAAACACACATTCGTCGATTAACGGTTTCAAAAAGATGCTTCAAAAGACCTTTAATTAACTGATAGGATATAGGCTGGTTGGTCCCTGGTTCATGAGTTCATGGGTCGATAGGTAGGGCCCAGGTGTGGCAACTGCCTCTTCGGAGTCGGTAATATTGGTGCTCAGCACGGAAAACAAGATCGACGGTAAACAAATCAAGGAAAAAAATACATCTGTGGACTTCAAACAGAAAACAAACTTCACTTAAATTCTGTGTATTTCACATGAGTTCTGTTTTTAAATTTTAAATCAGCAAACATCAGATTGTCAGAGTGATATGCAAACCTTTGAGATGCTTCTCGAATTCTAGAAAAAATCGAATATAATCAGAACTTCCGAAAAAAATTGAGACATTTTGTGTTCTCCGAAATTTGCATGATTTTGCTGAAATTTGTATTTATTCCCTAAATTTCTAAGATCGTCTTTTGCAGTTCTTAGAAGTTCTTTACATTCGGAAGATATTATCTGAAGTTTGAACATTTTCTCTGGACGTTCAAATAATGTCTTTAAAATTCGTTCTGTGAAGTTTGCCAAATTTCTTAGATGTTTGTAAAACTTTTCCGAAATTTGCGAGCTTCTAGGAAGTCTCAGAAATAATCTATGAAATTTGCTGAGCTACTTTGGCTTCCTTCTCTTCACATAACTTTTTCTAAAGCTAAATCAAATCTGCCGCCTAATCTCGAAATTATAGATCTTGAATCTTTTACCTAGATTTCGTTCTTAAAACAATTTTTATGTTCTGTTTCCTATTTTTCACAAAACACAACTTTAAGAACCTAACGTTTCTAACGTACCGCAACTAGTAATGGGCGATCTTGGATCGAAACACAAAAGATCAGTTTTTTGGTTTGAATCGATCTCAAACACGACAAAAATCGACTGGATCGATCATTTTCATTCAATTTTTGTTTCGAACCAAAAAAAATTTTTTTTTTCAGTGCATTTACCTTTGCAATTTAATATTGACTTTTTTGTCTTCACCTTTGCACATCACTTGCCTTGAACATGGCTTCTGCAAACAACTAGTGTGACAGTTCAGTAGGCTAGAACGAGAAAGAGAAAGTTCAGAGTTCCAGAGACGATTATAGACATCTCTGACGTCTTTCACTTTCTAGCACACATGGATGAACGGATGGTTTGTTTTCCCATTAATTTGTTTCCCTCTTGCTCGCGCTCATTCGATTTAAATGGTGCAGTAGTGTGCGCTTTAATCGTCTCTCTGTGCGGCTCACCTCAAGATCGCCTAATGCTAACCGCAACTATAGGACCATTCACCCGATTTTAAAATCAAAAAAATAAATTAAGAATGAAAAAGTATTACTAACCAAAGTTGGCTATAAAGAAAAACATAGAATGTTGAACAACTCACTTAGCAGTCATTTACGACCCAATGTTTCATGTGGATTTTTCATAACTTTCGGAGCTCTATCTACTCTTTATATATATAAAATCCGAAACCAAACACCCTGTATTACTATGCTGTGTGAAATGCACAATGATATTCTATGCCCAGGACCCAGTACGCACTGAGGCAGAATGGTACTTTTGATGGACAAAAGTCGTAGCGCTTGGTTTGGTGTCTTGGGCAATTTTTTTTTCAGAAAGATAAGGACCATATTTTGACATAATATGTTCAGCAACATTTTAAGTTATATTAAGTAGTACATAGCTACTATAATTTTCATAAAAACCTGATCAAGGCTACTTTGCCATTGATGCTTCCACCAAAACCTCATTAAGACTAGAATCTGTCTTGTTGACCCATCCTGGAGAATTTTTTGAAGGGTACATCCTCGAAGCACTTCAAGATTAATTTACTGCAAATAGGTTATATGACGCACGCATTTGAAACCCGTATTTAAGCTACAATACAAGCTATTTAGCAACAATAGAAACATTTTTCAACCCATTTTCCCTAGCCGCTTGCTAAATCCACTAGAAAAAGCATCAATTAAAATAGAAAAGGATTCATAAGTACCATCTGATCTTATCAAAATAATTAAAATAAAAGCTGATCGAATAAAAATCCTGTTGAATTTTCAATTTATTAAAAAAGTTCTCATAAAATGGCCTAGTGTTAGGTGCCTTATTAAGTTTGATGTGAAATGTCCTTAAAAACATGGTGAAAAATAACTACGTCCTTCGGAAAAACGTAAATTTTATTAATTATTTTTAGTTGAAAAAAAAAAATCTTCAGATCGATCATTAACGCCGTCTTTCGGACATTTTGAGCCGTTTGACTATGATGAAACAACAATCAGCAATTGGACGCATTTGTTTTACCACTGTGTCACATTTTCATGTTCTTTTGCTAACCGGATCACACGTTCATAGGTGTACGTGTCCTTGTTCGTTAGTTAGAATTATCATAAATTATATCGAAGACTTACGACTGATCGGAAAGTGAAATCGAGTTCTCCATATATTTCCTCATCATATCAAAGGATCAGACAGTTTTCTCATGTTGAAGACCTTCAAATGATCGGCAATTAAAATTAAATCCTTAGAATATCATCCCACCATATCAGGCTGAAAAGGAAACCTTCCAAATTATACGAAATTATATCGAAAACGTTTGACTAATAGGAAAATATAATCGAGTTCCCACGTCTACCTTCTTCATATCATACTGATCAGTAATTCGTCAGAAGATCTTCCGTCAGTTAGAATGTGTTTTCAAAATATCGCGTTGATCAGGAGGCCTTCAAATGATCAGAAATTGAAATTAAATCCTTTAAAAAGTCTTCCAAAATATCAGAAATTATAGCGAAGACCTACGATTCATCGGAAATTGAAAGCGTGTTATCCGTTTATTTCCTTATCATATCAAATTTATCAGAAATTTTTCTGAAGATCTTCGGTCATTTAGAATGCATTTTCAAAATAAAGCGTTGATTAGGAATCATGTCGAAGATCTCCAAATGACCAGAAATTGAAATTAACTCATTTGAATAATTCTTCTGAATTATCAGGAATTAAATCGAAAACCTACGACTGATTCCCTCATCATGTCAAATAATCAGAAATTCTTCTGAAGATCTTCGGTCAATAAAAATGTATTTTCAAAATATAGTGTTGATCATGAATCGAAGTCCAAAAAATGATCAGGAATTGAAATTAAATCGTTTGAATTTTCTCTTATCATACCAGGTTGATAAGGAGTTCGTCCAAACTATCAGGAATTATGTCGAAGACCTACTACTAATAGGAAATTGAAATCGAAATCTCCCTTATAATATCAAATTGATCACAAATTCTTCCAAATTAGGTATCAGAAATTATATCGAAAATTTTCGACTAATTGAACAATTTAAATCGATTTCTCCATATATTTCCTCATCATATCAAATTGATCAGAAATTCTTCTGAAGATTGTTGGTCCGATGGAATGTATTTCAAAATATAAAGATGATCAGGAAACATGTCGAAAACCTTCAAATGATCGGCAATAGAAATTATATCCTTTAAATATTAGCCCACCATATCAGGTTGATCAGGAATTCTTCCGAAACATAAGATATTTTATTTAACACCCTCGAATAAAAGGAAATTGAAATCGAGTTCTTCATATATTTCCTTATCATATCAAATTGATCAGGAATTCATCCTAATGATATGAAATTATATTGAAAACCTTCGACTAATTGAACAACTTAAATCGAGTTCTCCATATATTTCCTTATCATATCAAATTGATAAGAAATTATCTGGAAGATCTTTGGTCCAATAGAATGTAATTCAAATATAAGGATGATTAGGAATCATGTCAAAGTCCTTCAAATGATCAGGAATTCTTCCGTATTATCAAAAATTATATCGAAGACCTAAGACCAGGGTTGAAAAAATCACCAGCATTCACTAATGAATGTTTAACCCATAGTGAACTTTAATTTAAATGATTTTTTTCAACCCTGCCTACGAATAATTGCAAACTGAATTCGAGTGCTCCATCTACGTCCTCATTATATCAAAATGATCAGAAATTCTTCTGAAGATCATCGGTAAGCTAGATTGTATTTTGAAAATTTAACGTTGATCTTCAAATGATCAGAATTAGAAATTAAAGCCTTCGAATATTCTCTCATCATATCAGTTCGATCAGGAATTCTTCCGAATAATCAGAAATTATATCGAAGATTTTCGATTATTAAGAAATTGTAATCGAGTTCTCCATATATTCCCTTATAATATCAAATTTTCCTGGTCAATCATTATATCGATAATTTCCTATCAATCGTAGGTTTTCGATATAATTTTTGATAATTCGGAAGATATCCCGATCAAGCTAATAAGATGGGATAATATTCAAAGGATTTTATTTCAATTTCTGATGATTTGAAGTTCTTCGACATGATTTTTTATCATCCTTATATTTTGAAAATACATTTTAACTGACCGAAGATCTTCAGAATTGTAGGTATCTGATATAATTTCTGATAATGCGGACGAATTTTATATAGTGCCTGAATATGTGGAGAACTCGATTTAAATTTCCTATTCGTCGAAGGTCTTCTATATATTTTCTGATAGTTCAGAGGAACTCCTGATCAACTTGATATGATGAGAGAATATTAAAAATATTTTATTTCAGTTTCTGATCATTTGAAGATCTTCGACACGAGGTCTGAATATCTTTATATTTTGAAAATACATTCCAACTGACCGAAGATCTTTACAATATTTTTTGATAAATTTGATATGATGAGGAAATATGTGGAGAACTTGATTTAAATTTACGATCAGTCGTAGGTATTCGATATAATTTCTGATAATTCGGAAGATTTCCTGATCAACCTGATAAGGTGGGATGATATTCAAAGGATTTAATTTAAATTGCTGATCATTTGAAGGTTTTCGAAATGAGAAGAATTTTTGAACTCTATTTCACTTTCCCATCAGCCGTAGGTCTTCGATACTATTTCTAATAATTCGAACTAGCGAACAAGGACGCATGCACCTACGAATATGTAATCCGGTAGCAAAGGAACAAGAAAATGTGGCAACGTGGTAAAACGAATGCGTCCAATTACTATGCCCGTGACGAATGAACAGCGAAAATATTTGGCACATGGTTTGGAAATAGAAAAATTATGCTATAAAGTTTTGAAAATCATGAGCATGAGCATGAGCATGATTAACCGCCCATGGTTGCTACTCTGTCATTGCCACGTCAGGTGTTATTACACAGAGAAACATTAGACGATGATTGGGACTAGCAATCATCCTCAATGCGTAAAAACTGGTGATCTCAAACTAGACAATACCAGCGCCTGAACGCAGGTCATGAAATGAATGGGAAGGAATGTGTTGACGTGACACTCACTTTGATGAAAGCCGAGAAGACCTCTGCACTGGGATTGCCGCAGGGTTCGTTTTGGCAAACGATAAGCTGAATTGATGTCCAAACGATCATATAACGCGAAGGAGCTTGGAATTGAACCCACGGTCTTCTGCTCAGTAAGCAAAACCTTGCAGTCATATTAACAAATAAAGCGATTGATGAATCTTGAATGTGGATGGGCCTGAGATTAGACTCATTATGTTCTGCTCAGTAAGCAAAAACAATCGCTCTAAGGCCACCTAGCCCCTCATGTCACATCATACCTTTACTCGAGTTGTTCTACCCATTTAAATTTGGCACCGACGACGATAGGTTTCGCAAAATACACGATTAACAAGCTCTTATCAATATGAAAGGACCTGGGACCACTGCAACCGACGATCCTTCAAATCCGATATCTAAAAGCTACGAAAAAGAACTTAGGCCTTCATTAAGTTCCACTTTCATACGACGTTCAATGTTTCGATTTGTTCTTTACGCATTGTTCAGGCTATCATGCCTTATTCATCATAACAAGCTATGACCGACGTAACGACGTAACGTGATTCAACATGATTTTTTTTCTTTCCTTTATTTAACGTCGGTCTCTGTTCCGCAATTTAGTGCCAATCACCGACGGACATCGATTGCCATCCATTGTTGGCAATCAAATGTGCAGGAAGGCAGGTTCCACACCTGCGTAGGATATTGCACCCATTTCAACACACATGGGCCGAGACCAACGGCTTTACTTCCTTTTCGAAGGAAGACGTGACCAGAGACCTCGTGACCAGAGACCTCGTGACCTCGGCTGGGATTGAGTCCAGACCCATTGGGGTGAGAAAGCAGCCACGCTTACCGCTAAAACCATCGGCGCCGGCTGATTTAACATAACATAACAATGAAATTACGTTCTCAACAGCAATCAATGTATCCCAAACTGGATCAAGCGTGCATTCTATTTTTCTAAACATTCTGAAGCGTTCCACCCAAGATCTAACAGGTACAATTTTCTACAACAGTGGCTTTGGATAAATCGTAATGTATTTTTCCCACAAGATTTACAAAGTTTTGGAAATCATATGTATCAAACACCCCACGTGTATATTCTCTATGGGAGGAAATGCCACTTTCCTGGAATAAGCACATCATTTGAAGTTGAATATACTTTTCCACTCAAATTTTACGCCATTTGAAAAAAAAATCCTTGGCTACAATCGCCCGGAATTTTTTTTTCCCAATATTCACTTTCCATCACCGGATTTTCGGAACATTTTCTGGAAAACGTCCCAAAACAACGAACAAATGGCTCAAATTTTTCGAACTTTGGCCTCAACAACAAAATTAAGCAATGACACCGATAATGACCATGCATCGGAAACCTACTCTTAACCACTTCAAACTAGGGAGGACTAGGAATCTGTGTTAGATTTTACATTCCATAACGTACCACGAATAGCTGATCTACCCACGTTACGGGGTAAGCGTTCAATCATTATGATCATTTATTTAAGTGACAGTTACTCTGATTCACCCTGTAGACGATGTGTAGTAGAGCAGTTTCACGCCAAATTACTAATCGATCTCATGCGACGACATATTTCTCCTAAAAAGGAATTATTTCTTTCAACTTTGAATCTGACGTCATTTCGATTAATGAAGTTTTCGAGTTATGATTTGTTGAAAAATATCGGATACGTCATTTTGAAGTGTTTTGTGAGATTCAAAATGGCTGAATTTAGGCACAAATGTGAATGATTGACCATTACAAACAATTTTGCGAAGTTTCATGTAAATGGGATATGGCCTGTACATGCTCAATATATTCTACATCAAAACTTTAACCCACTACAAGAATGTCGAATGTGGCCAAAATATTTCGTTCTTCTTAGTTGTGCACAGAGTAGTTGCATAATAGATTTGCGGAATCCGTTGTGTTCCAACGCCTATGCAATTTTTTTTACTGATACCTAGAAAGGAATTTAAAAAAGCATGAAAAGTAATTCCACTTATTTAAAAAATGAAGGCTATTTTCGGCATAGTTTTGACCATGAAAATATGTTAGTGAGTATTTAAAAAACATAAGTTAAAAAAAAAATTACATGTGCTATCACAAACAATGAATCACATCATTCGAGCAATTTAAAATGAAGTTCCCTACCACTTGAGCTTTACCGTAGATCAATTTTTTAGATTTTTTTTCTTGAACTGCAAGAAAAAAGTGTCTTATGTATGCTAAGCTAGAAAAAAAAAGAATTTATTGCTTCATTTCCTTAAAATCGCGGTTGATGGTCGTCTCAAAAATGCTCAACAATATGCTTAATTAATAGTGCAGACATGCATAACATTTATCCATGGAAAATAAATGAGTATGCCACTATGACTTTGTGGAGTTTGAACTTATTTATAAATCTTTTCAGCTTTCGCCCTGGTTTAATATATTGACTTGATTTGTTCAAATAAGTTTTCAGCGATGGATCTTTGGATTTTTATTATAATGGTGATTATTTTTCAGCTTTCGTTCAGGCAAATCCAGAAATTTAGCTTAACGTGAGCAAATTCTCTTAATGCAGCGTATCGTCTACCAAAACGAACCTAACCCTTATATTCAATATCTCAGTGATTTCTCATGGAAGAGTAGAGGATTTCTCGGCTTCGTACAACACGAGTTTTCACGTCACCATATTCCTACCCATTCCTTAATTGACCTGCATTCGGACGCGGCCGGCGCTGGTATTGCATTATAAAAGTATGGGATAACCAGTTTTTACACATTGAGGATGAATGCTGGTCCCAAGCATCATCTGTTGGTTCTCTTTGTAATTACAAATGATCTGGCAATAACGGAGTAGCGGACGCGGGCGGTCAATCATGCTCATGCTCATATTTCATGCAGCTGCCACCAAAGCCCTGACAGGTTCGTGTTGATGTCAAACAGACCGTCTACAATTATAATTATCACATAAAGAAAAATTAGATACATGCGATGAGTCGAAGAAAGTCTACAAGGAGGCCTGTTGTTGCTGGTGCAGCTCCACTTGGTAATTTGGGTGAGATTATTCCTTTTTATTTATTTATACAGTAACCCCACGATATCGTTAGTACATAAGTTCAGCTTTTCGTTTACCAAAACGAACCCTGCTGCAAACCCAACATTCTAGCCCAACATCCCAGTGATTCCTCGTGGAAGTGCAGAGGATTTCTCGGCTTCCATCAAAGCGAGTGTCACGTCAACATATTCTTACCCATTCCTTTCTTGACCTGCGTTCGGGCGCAGCCGGCGCTGTTATTGCCTAGTTTGAAATCACCAGTTTTTACACATTGAGGACGATTGCTAGTCCCAAGCATCGTCTATTGGTTCTCTGTGTAATTACAGCTGATCTGGCAATAACAGAGCAGCAACCGTGGGTGGTCAATCAAGCTCATGCTCATGCTGGATTTTAAACTTATTTATAAAATTTCAGCCTTGGGATTTTACTGGGAATCATGCATCTTAAAAAGATCAGATGACGATGACAATCTTCCTGATCACAAAGAGTGTAATAATTGGCAAAGATTCCGTTGGTTCTACAGAGATTTACCACTCAACACACTCAGTTTGCATCATCTGCCTCTGAACATGAAAACCATTCCATTCGAGTTGAAGAAGTTTAACCTAGAGACAAAATTTCACTTTCGTCAACCCACGACAGGAGCAAAACAGGATTCCAAATTCTTGTACTTATGCGTTGGTCATAAATCGATTCATCATGGTCACTGATACCAGTTCTGGCGCTAAGCAGACATTGGGGCGTGTACTCACGTGAAAGTATTATATGATTTTTTGCTTCTTGGTTGCAATTTGGGCTACCTACGTTGACATTCAACTTTAGTTGAATTAAGAAGAAATTGTTTCTCAGATATCAGAATGCATTCATATTGAGTATATAAGATTGCCATCGTCATCGAAACAGTATCATTCAGCTCATACATTTCAAACGAACATAAGCACTAGCGAACCGCAAATATGTACTTCAAGGTTTGTTAAACAACTTTTTGTTTTACAGGGAATCTTAAAAATTCTATCGTTTTTCCACAGACTTCTCTGATTGTGCTCGCTCTCGTTGGTGCCATTGCTGCCCAGCACTACAAACAACAGCAGCAGCATCATCACCACGAGGAGGACCATCACGCTCCAGCTCACTACGAGTTCCAATACGACATCCATGATGACCACACCGGAGATGTTCACGGACAGAAGGAATCTCGCAACGAGCACCAAACTCAGGGTGAATATTACCTGATCGATGCCGATGGCCACAAGCGCACTGTCACCTACCACGTTGATGGCAAGAGTGGATTCATCGCCCAGGTGCACCGTGAACCAATCAAGGGATTCCAGGCTCCTCAGCAAGTGCATAAGGTTGTTGCTGTCCCAGTGCACCATGGATATCATCACTAGGGAATTTTCGTAATTTAGTAGAACAAATTGTAAATAAATCGAGTTAGCAAATTTAATGTACTTTGGGTTTCTTTGTATTCAATTTTTAATCCTTTAAGAATAGCTACCGAACTTACTCTCAGTATCAGAACACTATAAAAGTGGGTAGAAGGTTATGAACAAAACGTTCTGATTTTCCATAGTTATTCGGCCAGTGGTCGGGGATAGTCGAGATTACTAGGAAGTACTGTGAATTTTCACCCCAAGACTCTTTGGTTCCTTAACCTGCCTTCTGGTCGTACCCAGGAATCACTTATTGTTGAAGTCCTGTGAACTTTCACAACATGTGAACTTTGTTTTCCTTATATTGTCTTCTATTTACTCTCAGGAATCAATTATTATGAGAATACAGTGAATTTTCACTCATTAAAGTTTTAGTTTTTTAAGCTGCCCATGTTTTTCAAAGTTATTCAAATGTTACATACTTTTTTTTGAGTTACTCATGAGGCTTCTAGTCGTCTTGATTTTTTTAACTCTTTATTTGTTCCAAATTTAAAATAAATTACATTTCATTTTAACCTAGGTGCTCCAGTTACTATAGTAACTTACCAGCCTTAATTGTTATGATATATAGCTAAGGGTTTTTACATTGTTCCTGTCTTGGCAATTCAGTATTTTAAACAGGTTTTTTAAACCTGCATGTCAGTATAACAATTGATATCTTAAAACTAAAAACTAAAACTAAATCTTATCTAAGTATAAAGGGAATTAATCGTTGCAATTGAGGATTGCAACGATTTTTTCCTGAAATTATTAATTATTTTGTTGGACATTTGTTCTAAAGTCTCAACATTCGAAATTCTATGTACTTCAGTAGTACTGTACCAGGAAGGCAACTTCAAAATCATTTTCAGAACTTTGTTCTGAATCCTTTGAAGTGCTTTTTTCCTGGTAGTGCAACAACAAGACCATATTGGCACAGCGTAAAGCATGGCCGGTCTAAAAACTTGTTTAAATATTAGAAGTTTATTCGTCAGACAAAGTTTGGATTTCCTGTTTATAAGAGGATACAAACATTTTATATATTTGTTACATTTGGCTTGAATGCCCTCAATGTGATCTTTAAAAGTTAATTTATGGTCAAGTATTAATCCAAGATATTTCACTTGGCTTGACCAGGAAATTGGAACTCCGTTCATAGTGACTATGTGACTACTACTAGGTTTCAAAAACGAAGCTCTAGGCTTATGTGGAAATATTATAAGTTGAGTTTTGAAAGCGTTGGGAGAAATCTTCCATTTATAAAAATATCTAAACTTTTCTGCAGTCTGCTGCAAATAACACGAAGACTTCTTCCTTTAGCGGGAATGCCTGTGTCATCAGCGAACAAAGATTTGTGGCAACTCTGAGTCAATCAGGGAGGTCCGAAGTGAAAATGTTATACAATATAGGCCCAAGAATGCTACCCTGAAGAACTCCTGCTCTAACAGGTAGTCGATCAGATTTGGAATTTTGATAATTTACCTGCAGAGTTCTGTCAGTTAAATAATATTGAACTAATTTCATAGGGGAAAAGTTGGCTTCGGCAATACCTTAACCTATTATCGTCAGGAGGTAAACAAAGTCCTTGAGAACTCTATTTTGGCATGTGGATACATTGTGTTTCAGAGCAACTATTGGCCAAATTTGAGTGCTCTAGGACTTTTTTTACCCCCCTGACGATAATAGGTTAAGGTATTACCGAAGCCAACATTTCCCCTAATATAAAGTGGAAAATTAAACTTTTTCAATTTAGCAATCAAACCTTCATGCCAAACACTGTCGAATGCTTTTTCTATGTCTTGAAGAGCAACTCCAGTTGAGTGGCCTTCAGATTTGTTTGATCGAATTAAATTGGTAACTCTTAAGAGTTGATGAGTAGTTGAATGCCCATGGCGAAATCCAAACTGCTCATCTGCAAAAAATGTGTTCGTATTGATGTGAAGCATCATTCTATTCAAAATTATCTTTTCAAAAAGTTTACTTATTGAAGAAAGCAATCTTTTTGGACGGTAGCTAGAAGCTTCAGCTGGATTTTTATCCGGCTTCAAAATTGGAACAACTTTTGCATTTTTCCATTTATCAGGAAAGTATGCCAAATGGAAACATCTATGAAATTATTTTACTAAGAAAGACAAGGTACTCTCTGGGAGTTTTTTGATGAGGATATAGAAAATTCCATCATCACCTGGAGCTTTCATATTTTGAAACTTTTTAGTTATAGACCTTACTTCGTCCAAATCAGTCCCCCAGGAATCATCAAAAATATTTTCCCGAGAGAAAATATTCAGATAATCCCGAGCAACCTGATTCTCAATAGGACTAGTAAGACCCAAACTGAAATTATGAGAACTCTCGAATTGCTTAGCAAGGTTCTGAGCTTTTTCCAAATTTGTGATCAAAATGTTACCACCTTCTTTAAGCACTGGAATTGACTTTTGAGGTTTTTTCAAAAATTTTGTGAGTGTTCAAAAGGGTTTGGAACTCGGGTCTAATTTAGAAACATTATTTTCAAAAGTTTTGTTCCTCAGGGCAGAGAATCGCTTTTTAATTTGTTTTTGCAAATCCCGCCAGATAAATTTCATGGCAAGATCACGTGTTCTTTGAAATTGTCTCCTTCGGACATTTTTAAGACGGATCAAGAGCTGAAGATCGTCGTCTATTATAATTAAATCGAATTTAACCTCGCATTTTGGTACTGAGGCAGCTCTTGCTTCAACTATAGAAGTAGTTAGAGATTCAAGAGCATAATTAATTTCATCTTTGGTTTGCAAAGGAATGTTTGGATCGAAGTTATATTCCATAAATGTTCCATAAATGCTCCCAATCAGCTCTATGGTAATTGAATAGTCGTCTTGATTATAAAATATTTATTGCTACCGTATTCAGACAAACTCTTGTAGCACTTATGAGAGGTCGTAGAGTACTCTGCATCTTTCATAAGAAAGTGTTGAACTAACAATCCTCTCCCATCCCCAGCAGTTGCAAGTTTCTTGGCCAGGACCATTTCTGTGATTGTTGGAGATTGTAAAACTTCTTTTTAATAGCGAATTTGTTTTTGATTCAGTTCCAACCTGGATCGGGTATCAAGATTGGGTCGGCTTGTTGTCTGTCAAATGTCAGTGTAATCGTTTGTTTTTGTAATCGGGCTCGGGCTGAGGTTTGTACTGACAAAAAGCTCGGGTTCGCAAGGGTTGGAACTGGTTCCAATCTGGATAATAAACACATTCGCAATAAGAGTCCGAGATCAACCCCAAATTTCGGTGTTTATGATAACGGACGAAGGTGGCACTACTATCATATTGTCATTAGATTTTTTAGCAACTAGCTCAATACAAATGCGATCTGGATTCGCGGGTGAATTTTAATTTATGTATGGGAAACGGAACAAAACTGTTCATTAGCTTGACAAAAATTTTAAAACGTCTAAATGTTGACCAAACCTGAGCCTTAAATTGAGAAAACTTTGTCAGAGACCGCAAATCGGTTGGAATTATGTGCAAAAGGTTATTATATTTATACTTTAGGCCAAGTGCTCCACACATACCTTCAAGCTTATGTTGTCTGTTTCATTTAACACAAAACGAGCCGATAACGCGCAGAGGTCTTTGCCATAGAAATTCCTATGGCGACGATTTCTGTGACGGACTCGGTGCGTTTTGTTTCCAATGAAACAGACAACCCGAGCAAAGTCTGAGATCAAATTGAAATCTAAATTTGATGTTGTGATTCCGCTGATAATGATTACTCGGGTTGCTGTCGTTTTGGTCGTTTTAACGGTTAAAATATCAAATTTGGAGCATACTAATCTTCCTGTGACATCACATTGAAAACTTATTCTGCTATCAGTGAGCAAACTGAAAACTGAATTTGACATCAATTTTTCCTGTTTGATAATAAAACAAGTATTCAATTTGATGTTATGCTAAGGCAATGGAAACAAACCCGCAACAACTTATTTTTGAAGAGCAAATGTACAGCAAAATGAAAACAAAATTTATCAATTGCATAAACTGAAATCAAATTAGGATTTCAGTTTGATGTTGATATCAAAACATGATTTCAATTTGCTGTCATTTTGATGCTGGACTTTGCTCGGGAATATACACGCGTGCAAGTATGTGTAGAGCACTTGGCCAAAAGTAGAAGGTTAATAACTTTTTGCGCAGAAGTCGAATCAATTTGCGATGTTGGACGAAGTTGCTCTGCATAGTTTTCCAATCTTAGTCTCAGGTTAGGTCAATATTGAGCAGTTTATGAATTTGAGACAAGCTACTTAACAGTCTTGTTCTGGTTCCCATACATTTTCTCATAAAATCTTTAAAATTCTTCCGCATGTACAGATTGATAGATCAGTGATAAACAGGGGGTTGTTAAGTTGACCTACCCTAATGTATTACCATTTTCTTTAGAATTTGAGGTGTGAAAAAAATTGAGGTCATCAAATATTTTCACGTTATCCTAGAAACCAAAGCAAAGCATAATGTTATTCAGCTCATGATTAAGACAGACTTAATGTTTATGAACGATTTGGTTTAGAAAAGACCATTGCAAGCACATTTCAGAATTAGCTTGAATTGTCTTTTCACTATTAATAGCGCTTGTGATCATTATCTCTCAAAATTTATTTCATGCTAATTCTTAAGTAAAGTATATTTAGCAACTTCTCCCAAGGCATCATTAAAGCTTGATTAAAAGTAAATCTGAACACATGTTTCAGAAACTTTTGACATTATTGACGAATAACTGCTTACAATTTCATACAAATTGATCAAACCGTTTTAAAGTTAGAGACAATGGAACTTGATATGATAAAATTAATTCTGCACAAACATCAAGAAAATCCCTCGTGTTCTGTTTTCACGATTACTTTAAACTGTTCAACTTATTCTTCTATCTGAAAGGTAAATCCTCTTTTGCAAACTCTCCTTAATGAAGATCTTCGAAATTATTGTGCATTTATAAAAATAAAAAAATATCTGTATGTCGCTGATGAATTGATTTTCGACGTTACTGGTAGCTGTCGAAAGTACGAACA